GAGACAATAAACCTAAGACTGCTTTGGAATGTATAAACTGTAGATCTCAAGCTTTACGTGGAAAAGGATGCCTGTTAATGCAGAGATTAAATGGGGTGTCTAGAGAAGCCATAATTATTTGTTGTTGTTATTAGTAAGTGCTTTTGACACTGTTTCTTGGTATATAGCCTACACAGAAAATCACCTGGAAGCAGATCTTCTAGTACTCTTGATCCTCTTATCTATTCTTTCCGCCTCCCATAGTACTTCTTTCCGTCTAACTACTGTACAATGTCCTTATTTATTGTATCTACTGTCTGTCTTTCCTCCCACTAGAATGGAAGTACCAGGAGGGACAGATTTTAATCTGTTTGGTCCACTGAGGAATGTCCAGCATCCAGAACAGAGCATCTGGCACATATTGGTCATTAATAAGTATTTGTTGAAATAAAAAATCCTTTTTCCTCTGAGGATCAATCCAGTGATCTCCTTCACTTATGCAAGAGCAGGCTTTCAAGGGAGGGGGCATGGAAGAAACACATCAACTTGCAAAGAGAACCTGGGCATTTCTGTGATACAAGGACTGAGAGCCAACTCCTCCCCTAGAGGCTAGAAGCTGGGATCTCCAAGGGGCCCCCAACCCTGGCTCAGAGCCGGATGAGCTATGAGACTGCTGACCCAGGGAGGACAGGGCTCAGCTCCTTGACTTGGGCATAAAGCAGAGGCATAGAAATTTGTGACGAAGGCGACTTTGGCATAAGGTAGGACTGATTCTGGAAGGTCACCTACAGCAGTGAGAGTGGCCCTGACAAGCTCCATCCCTAGGAACTACACTCTCAGCATCAAGCCTCCCTGGCTTTGAATTGTGTCTGTGAGCATCTGTGCTTTATATAAACTCATTTGGTGCATCTGTTAGCAAGATGTGTCCTAAGGTAGTTACTTCTTTGCTTTATGCCATTTTGATTAATGAAAGGCTTCATTGGATACTCTGCTTTCGGATAGTGGGAGAGACCCCTATATATACATACATTCATACTTGGTGCATTCAGCCTTTGCCAGCGCATTGTTTATTTCTTAAAATGAATGACATAGAAAAAAAGTGCAAACTGCCCTTTCTCAGAGACTGTACCTCAGAACATGCTCTCTAGTGGAGAAGATGCAGAAATTCTTTCCTAAAACATGTCCACAAAGCTGCTTCCCATGGAATAGAGGATGTGCTGCTTGGCTGACTTGTTAAGGTTGCGGGGGTGTGTGTCTTTGATTAAAAATACATGTGCTTAAAAATGCATTCCCCTCGCCTCATGACATGTATGATAGAGAAATATTTTTTCCAGGAATGGAAATCACTATTTGCCACTATTTTTATATCTGGGCTTCCTTTTTTGCTCTCCCTCTTTTGAGTGGTGGTGGTGGTGGTATGTGTGTATGCGTGAGAGAGAGAGAATTAAAGAGAGATGAGAGAGAGAGAGAATGTGAACTAGTGACTCAGCCCTCTTAAAACTGCCGATCCCACAGAATGGTCACAACTCTTATTTAAAATAGCCACGACAGATTTGAATAAAAGTTGCAGTAGAGGAAGAGCTGTTATCTAGATGACTCCAAGCTCTTACCAGCCAGGCACTGACTTCCAAAGCAGAAAAGCAGGTTCAGGGCTAGGTAGCAGGGAGAGGCAGAGTGGGGCTTGGATTCTGATGGGCTGGGTCATCAATTCCTTTTATCTCCATTGGGTTTCAGAATCTAAGAGGTCCATCCCTACTACACCTCCCCTCTTGCCTAGCTGCCATCTGAGCATCTGAAAATGCAACTCTGAGACAGAGAAGGCAATATCCCAGAAGGTTTAACTGCCTTCAGGAACCCAGACTCTTCCAAATATCTTGTTGTAGTCAGAACTTGGGCAGCAAGTGTCAAGCTAGAGGAAAATCATTTAGTGAAAGGAAAGTACAAACTGGCCAGAGTGCTCCAGGGAAGAGTGAAGGTGGAGAGAGGATGGAAGAGCAAGGTCTGCTCTTTGTGTTTCTAGAATGTTCTCCTTCCCCTAATTTCACAGCACTGAGTCACAGACTAGGATAGAATATCATCAGGGAGAACGATGAGGATCCCTTTCTATTCCTTACTCAATGTCATCCAGCTTCTTTCTCAACTGAGACTTGCCTTCTGGACCAATGATGATTGCATCACTTGCCTTAGTCTGCCAGATCTCCTTGCTGAGCAGGGATCCTGCATCTGCCTCTGTATGCCCCAGGGTCTTATTCCTGGAGCTTTCCCTGGGCTTTTTGGAAAACCCAGCACTGCATCTTTAAGGACCAAATTACAGAGAAAAGATACATTGTTGTTGAATACATACTGTATTTAACATTTTTTAATCCCAGAGAAGTGAAATGCAACATCTGTTTGAGTTTATGTAATGTCCAAAGACTGACAATTCAGAATTTCCTAGTTAAAGTCATTTTTAAGGCACTCTGCAGAGCCAGCTTTCATTCTCTTCCTTCATTGGGTTCTTCTCCAAACTGTAGCAGAATACCTGGGTCCTCTTTCTTCAGAGCGACACACACATGCTCATGCTTCGAACCTGTTCTTTGTCCTGACGACACAGAAAACAGCACAATTCCAATTGGGAAACAGGAAAGGAAGGAAATACATGTGGTGAGGTGGGTCAGAAGAACACGGAGAAGATGTACAAATTGATGAACTGACACGGTGGGAGCAGAAAAGAGAAGGAGCAGAAGGGAAGTGGGACAGGGTGGGGTGGGCCAGATGGCTGGCGGCCAGTGAAAAATAGGCTACATTTCCCAGTGAGGTTCCAATTAATTTAGCTGGTTCCTTTTTTTTTTTTTAAGATGTGGCCGATACAAGGGAGGTGTCCCAGAGTTATGGGAAGTGTATATACATTCAGTGTGCTTGCTTGTGCTCATGCACTGAAGAAGGTTTGATTTTAGACATAGGCATGATTTAGGGGCTCTAAAAAGCCCCCTTCTGATAAAAAATAACATCCCTTACTGGCCCACTACTGTGCCTGAAATTCCCACCACGAGAGCCACGCTTTCGGGTTAAGGCAAAATCTATAGCCCCTATTAAAACATAAGTGTCACCTGACAGGGTAACACTCAACTCTTTAGCACCCACTGACTGAGCTGCCTGTCACCTATCCAGAGTAGGACCCTGAGAGATGGGATGGAGGGGTGGGCACATTCTGACTGTTAGGGAAGAAGGCTTGGTGACACGGGATGCAGGAGAGGGACAGCTTGGGCAGCTGAGGCTGTGTGACGTAGTATTAATAGTTGCCCCAGGAGTTTTCTCAGGGGCAGGAGAGTAACCCTTGGAGGGATGGGGTAGCAAAAACAACTCCTCCCACACCACAGGTTTCCTTAGTGTGTGTGTGTGTGTGTGTGTGTGTGTGTGTGTGTGTGGTATATCTAACAGTTTGTAAATATTACAACATTCTGGGTATATACCCAATATATTGGGTTGGTCAAAAAAGTTCATTCAGGTTTTTCTGTAACATACTATGGAAAAACCCAAATGAGCTTTGTGGCCAACCCAGCAGAATTCAGTTGGGCCTGTGAAGAACAGGGTATATCTCCATGCATCCCTATGGTGTGTATACAGTCTGTGCACATGTGCACACACACACACATTTCCTCACAGTCCGCAGTAAGAGATCTTGTGAGCTGTCTGGGATTTGGATGGGTCCGGTTCTCAGGGAAAGGACTGGCTTGGGGCAACGTGACTCCTTTCTTCATTTTCAGCAGACTTTCATTCACTTCAGGTGGCTCTGCAGAAATGGCCAAGGCTTGGGTTATAAAGACTGGGCATGGACCTTTCCACCTGGATTGGGATCTGAAGACATTCATGTGGAGTTGGGGAGCCTGGGGGAGGGGCAAGTGGAGAGAGAAGGTGGCAAAGGGTAGGTCTGAGATCAGCCCCCAGGCTGCGCAGGAACCACTCTTGGGTACAGCTGGCAGGATCTGCCAGGTTGATTGACCTAATGGGGAAGAGTCAGAAATGGGGAAGGCTCAGGGGGAGGAGTGGGACAAGAATGCATCACTCCTCAATGGCCTTTTCCTATTCTTGGCACAGGAGAACACTTGGGAAATCACAGATGAAGAATGTGGGTGGGGGGAGGGCCAAAGGTGGGAAGACACTAGAAGTGCTTATCAATCCCGGTCTCACATTAGAATCATCTGGGTGACTTCTTAAAAACACCCGCCCCAGGCCCCACCCACAAAGATTCTGCTGGAATGAGTTGGGGCAGGGATCAGACATGGGTTTTCTGTAAGCTCCTCGGTGTCTCAAATGTACTTGCCACATTAGTTAAGAAGACAGCACCAGAGCAATTGAAAAGTCTAGTTCTGAGAGGGCCAGGGTGGAGCTGACTGGTCAGTCCCCACCATCACATGAAGGAGAGGAGATGGGTTGATATGAGGGGGGACTGTGGGGGACAGTTCTGAGAGCTTCTACTTGGACAGTCAAGCCTCTATTGGTTTGTTTGGCTTTACAGCCTCACTAGGTCTCTAACCCGCTTCTGGTTTAAAATCTGTCTGAGGTGGAGATGTCTGGGCACAGGGAGAGAGTTTCCCCCCTGTTTCCTGTCACTTCAGAGAGGAATTATTCACTGTGCTCTACGGGGCCAAGAAGACAAATTCTGGGGTGAGATGGGAGTAGATTTTTCTGTTATATAGTAAACACAGGTTTCATAAATAAATAAACAAACCAGTAAGCAAGGCAATAAACAAAAAAATGCACACAGTTTTTGTTCTCTTAGAGTGGTTCTCTCCTCACCCCATTGATCCTGGTGACGTACACTTTGCCCTTGGTCACCTGAAAGTAACCAGCCCAGTCGTGTGGAGGAAGTAGGACTGCTTTGGCCCCGGCTCTGCAAGGATCAGAGAAATCTAGACAGAGTATTAACATTGGCCACCCATGTGGAAGAGGGAGAAAGAGAGGAGATATATATTCCCTCTGTTTTTCACCCAAAAGTATAGGGAGGCAAGTTAGGGCTTGGGAACCAATGCTGGAACATTTTAGGTTTCTGAAGTCCCAATTGACCAGCACTTCATCCCAGCTTCACTTAGAGCTGTGGGAATGGACTTGAGGTCTGGATGGACCCAACCGTTCCACACAAAAAGATGCAGCCGGCACAACTCCCACTTCAACACAGCTCCCCAGGAGCCAACCAGCCAGCCTGTGGAGAGTGCTGTGTGGCGTGTTGGGGGTGGGAAGGGGGACAGGTCATGGGGTGACGGAATGGGAGGATGGTGAGGAGACAGGCAGGATGGCGCCCATTTTAATGGGAAGTCAGCTATCCAGGGCTTCAGCTTCTCGAGCCAGCAGCCATTGCTCACTTCCTCCTCTTTAGTCTCTGCCATGTGGTTCTGCTCCTGGGCGTGCCTTGTTCTACTAGGTGACCTGTATGTGGACATGGAAACATGTAAATAAAATGGGCATTAAGACAGTGGTCAAAGAATGTCATTCCTTAAAAGCAGATGTTTATAATCTGGGCTTCATAAATAGATTGCAAGGAGACAATGACTCTGAGATTTTTATGCAAAATTATGAGTACTTATTTACATAAGCATGCTCTGTCAAGACAGTCTATAGTATTTATGTGGTTTTTAAACAAAAGCAATATTAGATTCTAGATCGTCTGTAAGTGTAACCCATTAGCAAGGGACAAAAGGGTCTACAGAAATGGGTGGGAATTCCAGACCCTCCATGGCTTTGGTTCTCAGCATCCAAAGGCACAGGTAATTTGTAAGAATTGCTGATTCACCAGAACTCCATGGTTCTCCCAGTATACCTGTGCATGGGCATATATTTGAGCTGTGCTAAAACATTTTGAATGTGCATCTATATTACTCAACTTGAAGTTGTTGATCAATTTTTCTTTTTTTTTTTTTAAAGACTATGTTTGCAGAGTACTTGCATGTATGTGGTAAGTTGTGGTCGTAAAGAAGAAGTGAACTGAATATTTAAAATAAAAAGGGTATTTTTGAATGCATGAAAGGAGTTGCTTTGAGGTAAATCCAAGCATTGGACATCCTCCTCTTGCTTTCCTGATCATTTATTTATGCTTTGTATCATTGGATTGTTGATATGTGGGGTTGGTTATAGCAATGTACTACTATAATGGCACAATGAGTTTTTGTGATTCCAAATGAACACTGTTGCATTCAGATTTTAGGCATGGTTTCAGTTTCAGAAAGAAAAAAAAAATCTCAAATTCGTATAGAGATGGTGAAATAAACCTGTTCCAATTGTTTGAAGTTTGCTGACAACCCCATTATATATACAAATTGGGGCTTAATAGCCCAGTAGCCATTCTGGAAACTGTCCCTCCCTTCATCCTGTGCTCTGGAATAACTGCCATGCTCTAGTGTCAACGAATACCAGTTCCCCTTCCTGCAGTGAGAGACTGATGTGCGGGGCTCTGCCAGCCTTTGATGTCACGCATGCCACAGAGTGACACATATGGTGGGTGATGGGAAAGAGTCGGGTACTGAGAGGATACAGGTGTGCAGAGGCTTGGAGACAACCTCGGAATCTGTCTACTGTTCATGGACCACAGTGGAGAGATACCTGTGTGCAAAAGTCACATCATTGTGATGATCACTTTATATGACTATTATATTTATTATCATATTCCTATTATATTAGTTATACAATAAGATGCCTTTAGATTAGCATAATTTTTGCACAAAATTTTTTTTCAACTACATAGTTGAGTTTCATCTGTCAATTTTCCCCAAGGCAAGGCATAGGAAGCTTAGGGTTCTCTGTCAATGTGCTCCCACAAACCCAAAAACTTTAAGGGAGTGACTGTGGCACTGAGGACAGGTTTTCTTCCCATTTCACAGATGGAAAAGTGCAGGTGATCTGCATGAGAAGTCTTGCCTAATAAAGTCAATCCAACATCAGGTCTTAGGGATTCTCAGGTTTCCGCATCCACAAGACCTCCTGAGCACTTGAAATAGGCTTGGTAAATGACTCTTTCTCTACTGAAGAGGGCAAGACAAGATTGTTCTGGCTGCAGGAAGTTTGGAATCCAACTGAGTTTAGAGTTGCTTATTCTCTCGTAAGAAATGGCCCATTTCCTTTCTGATAAACATGCCCAAAGATAGCATTTCTCTTGGCTATTGTGAATGGCTTTTTGGAGGTGGTATTTTCTTGTTGTTTCTTCAGGTGAGATAGTGAGTCTTTAGTCCCTGATGTGTGTGTGTGTGTGTGTGTGTGTGTGTGCATGTATGTACACTGTGTGCATGCATAAGTGCTGTGCATGAAGAGGTAGGTAGGATAGTGCCTTTGTCCCTGTTCATTGGATATGCATACACAAAGTCCTTCTTTATTTCCTAATTAATTAGTAATAATAGCTTTCTATAGTTTCTGGTATGTGAGGGAGTGAAGTGGGAAATAATCTAATTGGCTGTCTTGCTTTCAAAGCCCAGTTTAATGAAATAGTTCTCAGACTGAAGTGCATGTATTATCTTTCCTGTTATTTTTCCAATTAATATTTCATTGGATCATGTCTGTGTGGAATATTATAGTTGGTTTGAGGTGGGGGTGAGGGGATGAGAGCAGATGGGGAGATGACCAGCTGTTCCCCTCATTACCAGGGCCATGTATGTACTGGTGCAGCTGTAGGTTTTCCCCAATGCCTTTCCTTGGAAGAGCTCAAATAGCTTGACAGAGTGCTGCCTGTCGCCTTAACCATCCTCACCGGTCTCTTGGGCCAGACAGACAGACAAAGGGACCTCTTGCCAAGCTCCCTGGGTTCGCTGAGATGCGTGACTCCAAAGGGAAAGTGAGTAGCTCCTGAGTTTCCTGTGAGCATTGTCTACCTGCAGACTGTTTAGCCTAGAGGAGTGAACACCTCTTATAAATACTTGTTTTAAGAGTGAGTCTCCAGAGGGACCTCACAATACCTTCCCATATCTGCTCTTTTTGTGAAGAGAAGATGGCATGAAACAGGGCTGGGCCTGGGGTAAGGCAATCCGGATGCCCAGGGCAGACACTGAAGGGACCTCCCTCTCAGCAGATGCAGAATCAGTGTTCACAAACAGGAGTGAGTGCCTTCTTAGATTTTCCAGGGCGGGCACCTTGGTTGGTTTATGTCTGGCCTGAAGCAAAGCATTCTGTCCTCTCTCCTGTCTCCTCCTTGCTCCCAGTGATGTTGGGTCTCAGGCAGTCTGAGTTCAGTCCCCAGGCTTAGCCATCTCTCTATTCAGATGCTTCATGTGCACTATCGGAGCCCCTCACAATCCCCAGGGAGGTCTGCATGCAGCTAGGCTGCTGCTCTGCGTCTTGGCCTTCCCCCTTCATTGCTGTAAGTTGAACATCTATTTTCCCTTCTCTTGGGCATTTCTGACCCAGTATTCAGCTGTTTTAAGGGTCAGGCCACATTTTCTGGGTTAGTGAAGGACAGATAGGAGCTGGAAGCAGAGAAGAGCCTCCTTTGCGTGGCCATGTGACCTGCTGCCCAAAGGCCTGACTTCATGTTTGTCTTGGTGAGAAAAGATAGTCGGTTCTCTTTGGGATCACTCTCCAGCTGGGCAAAATTGCCTTTCTTCCCAGAAAGTCTGTGGTGCGGCCAAACTGGGAGTGACGCACAGACTGGGATGTGGGGGCGGGGGCCTTGGAAAGCAGCGTTGAAGCCAGTGCTGTGGCTGGTCGTGGGGGGGCAGGGGGCAGGCAGGGCAGGCAGAGAAAGGGGCCATAGCCAATTATATTTCCAGTGTGCTGAGACAGCCTGGGGTCAGGGGCAGTGTAGGAAGAAGTATTTCTTCCTTTCACGTGCACCCATGTGACCAAATCTGTAACGTTATCTACAAACTTGTAGTCCCAGCCAAGATCTGGTGCATCTTGTAGAGATGGGAACTGTGTAGAGACAGACCACACAGGCCAGTGGAGACCCACATAAAGATATGTAAACATATAATAATAAGAATAATTTTCCCCTCTGTATTTCTTGCCTGAGCCCATGATAGGAAAAATGTAGCTGTCCTTTGCTGGCTTCTCCAGGAAGCTTAAGTAGGCAAGTCATTTTGGGATTTCAAGTCTGGCCCAGATCTGATCAGCCTCTTTTCCTTTCTGAAAGATCTCTTAAAATGCCAGCTATAAATTCTTCCCAGAGCTGCTTTCTACAGGGCTATGTAGAGGTCTCCTTTCTTTCCTTGACTGCCAGGGTCCAGGCCTCACCATCAAGGTATCTGGGGGCAGGGTGAACTCGGGACCCCCACCCTCCCCCACAGGCCAGGCCTCCCCCTGGCAGGGACATTGGGTTTCCCTGAGATGGTCTTGGGCTTCCAATCTGATGGGGCTTGAGGGCCTGCAACTCATCCTGGGCCCCGTGATTCTACTGACACGACAAGACCTTACATCAGGCAGCACTTCAGACATTTTGGAGTGTTTCCAGACATCACATCACTGTGTCTTCCTGACTACAATGCTGGCTGTGTTAGTGGCTCAGTTAACAGAGGAGGAAACAGGCTGAGATGAATGACATGATCTGTTGAAGGTCTGGTTCATCAGCTGGGTTTAGAAGACTCAGGTCACTCGGAGGTCCTGGGCTCTGGCCTCTGACCTCAGAGAGCCCAAGTAGCCCTTCTTTCCAATACGGAAGAAGAAAGAAGTCACCTGAAAGCGCAGAGCCTAAGACCACCGAACCCAGATTCCTCAGGAGAGCTTACTCTGCCTGGTCAAAATGCACCAGAGATCAGTCAGGGCGACTGTGCACAGACTTCCTCTGCAAGTGAGTCAGCCCTGCCTCAGGAACAGCAGTGGAGAAAATGGTCCACCAGAGTGGAGGAAAGGCGAGGAGCCAGAAGACTGAAATTCAAATCTTAAGAGCACCATTGGTAGTAGTGTGACCTTGGGCAGGTCACTTGACCTTCAAGTCTCTCATCTGTAAAATGGGGATATAAATTAGATCTTACAAGATTGTTGAGAATCAAATCAAAAAGTATTTGTGTCTGTGCTATGCAAACTGCAACAAACTAATCAGATGGGAATTATTGTTGTTAATAACAATAAGAATATAAGGATTAGACAAACACTAAGAATTTCTATCTTGAATAGAGATGTTTCATACTCTGTGTAAAAGGGAGAAAACAGCCTGTAAGCTGTAAAGTGCTGTAGACCTCACAGGGATTGTTAGGAGGACTGAGGTTAATTAGCAATGCGACCCATCATGGGAGGGAGCACGGCTGACCAAGGTGGGCAGCAGGACTCCATCTCTCCAGAGGCATTCTTGTGAGTGTTTAAAGATCACCAAACAACCTTGGCTGTCCTCTAGTCACTGAGCTGGCAACTCTTCTGAAGGCCTTCCACAGGCAGATGTCCTAAGTAAGAAACTGGAACCAGATGTACTCAA